TAGACAGTCAGCAAAAGACAACTAGCTCACAGATGAAAAGATAGTGAAAAAGACTATACGTCTGTTCTGATAGATCATTAGACTTTTGGTAGACATTCAGCCTTTTCATTTAATGTAAGAGCTAGACGTTGAGACAATTAGACTTTTAGACGCTTGTCGGACTTTTAGACTTTTCATATAATGTATGAGTTCGACTTACAGACTACCAGACTTTTAGACGTTTGTTAGACTATCGGTAGACTATTAGACTTTTGTTAGACTTTCAGCCTTTTCCTTTGATGTATGAACTAGACTTTCAGACTATTAGGCTTTCAGACTTTTCACTTAATGTGTGAGTTAGACTTCCAGATTATTAGACTTTTAGACTTTCGTTAGACTATTAGACTTCTCATTTAATGCATGAGTTAGCCTTTCAGACTACTAGACTTTTAGACGTTTGTTAGACTATTAGACTTCTGTTACACTATTGTTAGACTATTAGACTGTCGGTAGACTATCAGACTTTTGTTAGACATTTAGGTTTTTCATTTAATCCATGAGTTAGACTTTCAGACTACCATACTTTTAGACGATTGTCAGACTATCGGTACACTATTAGACTTTTGTTAGACTTTCAGCCTTTTCTTTTAATTTATGAACTAGACTTTCAGACTATTAGGCCTTCAGACTTTTCATTTAATGTGTGAGTTAGCCCTTCAGACTGCTAGAGTTTCAGACTCTTGTTAGACCATTAGACTATCGGTAGACCATTAAACTTTCGTTAGAGTTTCAGCCTTTTCATTAGACGTGTCAGTTAGGCTTTGAGACTATTAGACTTCTGTTAAGCTGTTAGACTTTTGCTAGACTTTCAGACAACCAGAATTTTAGACGTTTGTTAGACTTTTACACCTTTCATTTAATGTATGAGTTAGACTCTGCGACTATTAGACTTTCACACTTTTGTTAGACTTTTAGACTTTTCATTTATTATATGAGTTAGACTTTCAGACTATTAGACTTTTGCACTGTTGTTAGACTCTTGGACGTTTCTTAGACTGTTAGACTTTTCATTTAATGTAACGGTTAGACTTTCAGACTACTGGACTTTTAGACCTTTGTTACACTATTAGACTGTCGGTAGACTATTAGACTTTTGTTAGTCTATTAGACTCTTGAACGTTTCTTAGACTGTTAGACTTTTCATTTAGTGTGTGAGCTAGACTTTCTGACTATCAGACTTTCGTTAGACTATTAGACTTTTCATTTAATGTGTGAGTTAGACTTTCAGATTTTTGTTAGACTATCAGACTGTCGGTAGACTATTAGACTTTTGTTAGATTTTCAGCCTTTTCATTTAATGTATGAACTGGACTTTCCGACTATTTCACTTTCAGACTTTTGATTTAATGTGTGAGTTAGAGTTTCAGACTATTAGAGTTTCAGACTTTTATCAGACTATTAGACTATCGGCAGACTATTAGACTTTTGCTAGACTTTCAAACAACCAGAATTTTAGAGGTTTGTTAGACTTTTACACCTTACATTTTAATGTATGAGTTAGACTTTCAGACTATTAGACTTTCGCACTGCTGTTCGACTCTTAGACGTTTGTTAGACTGTTAGACTTTTCATTAAGTGTATTAGTAAGACTTTGAGACTACCAGACTTTTTGACGGTTTTTAGACTTTTGGACTTTTCATGTAATGTATCACTTAGACTTTCAGACTATTAGACTTCTGGACGTTTCTAAGACTTTTAGACTTTTGATTTAATGTAGGGTTAGACTTTCAGACTACCAGACTTTTGGACGGTTTTCAGACTTTTGGACTTTTCGTTTAATGTATCACTTAGACTTTCAGACTATTAGACTTCTGGACGTTTGTTAGACTGTTAGACTTTTCATTTAGTGTATTAGTTAGACTTTCAGACTACCAGACTTTTGGACGGTTTTTAGACTTTTGGACTTTTCGTTTAATGTATCACTTAGACTTTCAGGCTACTAGACTTCTAAACGTTTCTTAGACGTTTAGACTGTTGATTGAATGCAGGAATTAGACTTCCAGACTGCTAGACTTTTAGACTGTTCATTTAATGTGTGAGTTAGCCTTTCAGACTGCTGGACCTTTAAGACTTTTGTTAGTCTATTAGACTCTTGGACGTTTCTTAGACTGTTAGACTTTTCATTTAATGTAACGGTTAGACTTTCAGACTACTGGACTTTTAGACCTTTGTTACACTATTAGACTGTCGGTAGACTATTAGACTTTTGTTAGTCTATTAGACTCTTGAACGTTTCTTAGACTATTAGACTTTTCATTTAGTGTGTGAGCTAGACTTTCAGACTATCAGACTTTTGTTAGACTATTAGACGTTTGTTAGATTTTCAGCCTTTTCACTTAATGTATGAGCCAGACTTTCAGACTACTAGACTTTAAGACTTTTGATTTAATGTGTGGGTTAGAGTTTCAGACTTTTGTCAGACTATTAGACTATCGGTAGTCTATTAGACTTTTGAGCCTTTTTTTTTTTCAGCCTTCAGTAAAGTTTGTCGGTTTTTCGATCGAAACAGAAAGGGATGGCTACAAGATCGGTCGATGCAGAGCAGAAGAGTGGTATGCAAGTGTATCTCTCTCGACGTTGGGAATTAATCAAAACGGGGTTTCTGCTGATTACGTGGATTGTCGTGGTTTGTTTTCCTCAGATGAGATTTTTACTTTGAAGTTGTTCTTGATAAACAATAGGGAATTCTTTTAGAATTGGTCGGACCAACTTTGAAGATACTCGCCCAACAAACGGGCACGACTTTTGCTGGAATCAGTTCCATTTTAGCTGCTCGACGTGCTGGATACATGGCTGGAAATATTCCCGGAGTAGTGATGCAAGACATTGTCAAACGACATTCGGAAGGTTTAATTGCTCTTGCGTTTCTCATTTCTTCTGTTGGTGCGCGAGATTCAGTCTTATGTCAATGAAAGAAGAGAATGATTTTACTCATCCTAGCCACATCGCACATTGGATCGTTGTTCGTTCTATCGGTTTTGTTCTTCTTTCAAGGAATCTCTGACGGGCTGACTGATTTGTGTAACATTTCTTTCCTATGTGGAGAAGAGCTGATATGTGATTGTTTCAGGCGGCACAAATCATCTCTTGACAATGTGGGGTGATCATTCATCTGCTTCTATGAATACAGTTCATTTCGGTTCTTTGCCAATCTTCTTGTGGCTCCTTTCCTTGGCAAAAATCAAATCAGTTCATCCAATTTGACATCCACTTCGACAACCGTAACTTCATCGTCATCGAATATCAGTATTCCGTATACGATCGCAGCGAGTCTTTGTTTTTTGATAACAGTTGGTCACCACTGGTCCTCCTCCCGAACCTCTTGTCAATTATTCTCAATATTCACCACGATCTTGTTGCAATGGTCATTTGTGTTACGGTCTCATCGTGTCGAATCTTTGGATCTTATGGATGTTTTTTGTCACTGCTAATGATTTAACTTTTGGCAAATTCATTTTCAACTTAGACTCTCAGACTTTTCATTTAATGTGTGAGTCAGACTTTCAGAGTACTAGACTTTTAAACTTTTGTTAGACTTTTTGATTTTTCATTTAATGTATGAGTTAGACCTTCCGTCTACTAGACTATTAGACTTTTGCTAGACGTTTAGACCTTTTTAATCTAATATATGAGTTAAACTGTCAGACTACTAGACTTTTAGACGTTTGTTAGTCTATTCGACTTTTGTTACACTATTGGTAGACTGTTAGACTTTTAGATTTTTCATTTAATGTCTGAGTTAGACTTTCAGACTATTAGACTTCTGTTAGACTACAAGACTTTGGTTAGACTTTTAGACTTCTCATTTAATATATTATTTAGACTTTCAGACTATTGGGCTTTTACACTTTTGCAGTCTACTAGACTTTTAGACCTTTCTGAGACTCTTAGACTGTTCATTTAATGTACGAGTTAGAGTTTCAGACTACGAGACTTTTAATTTGTAACATAGAACACTGTAAGCGGTGTCCCTGCACTCACCTATATATGTCGTTATATCAAGGCTTTTTATATTTCTGCTTGATTTTAATAGTATAAAACAGGAACTGTACAACAAAAATGTGTCTACTGTACGCGTGGAAAAAAACAATAACGAATAGTCTTTAATCTGACGCACTAAATATATATATGACGAAAAAGGAAAAAAAGAAAAATGAAAACAATCTAAATATATATGGACGGAAACTTTTTGAATATAAGGAGGAAGAAAGGAAAAGAATGTACTGAAACATCTTTAGATGTATATGATATGACAACGAAAAAAGAAAAAAGGAAAAATATACTAAAACATCTCTAGATGTATATGACAACGAAAAGAAGAAAAAGGAAAAATGGAGGGCCTCGATTTAGAACTATTCAAACGGTATGTGTAAGGCTCTAGCCTGTAACAAACACCACAACAGATATTTGTTACATTATCAGTTACGGTGTCAGTTAAATTCATACGTTGTCGCAATAATAAACAGCGGCTCTTTTCATGATGGAAATAACCAACGACTACATCAAGAAAAGATTCATTTTTTCCATATAATGCTTTATCATTGAATGACCAAGTTGTTTCAATAATTCTTATAGCATTAACCACATTAAACATTACACGAGTATTTGGTGAATCAACATCTGATGGATCATCTTTCTTCTTCAAATAATCATCACGTATTAACATCAATGATTGTTGTAAATTTTCTTTTGCTTCTTGATTATCACCACCCACAATAAAAACATCTCTAAATCAATGTTAAAACAAAATTTTTCATAGTGCTCTCCTATTATACAATTCTGAATCATGTTGTTCCCGTTTCAGACATATATTTAGGCTGTGAGCGTAGCTGGTCGTAGGAAGTAAAATCAAATTCTTCTAGCAGGAGATAATTTAGCAGTAACTGTGGCAAGGGTAGAACACTCAGATA